TATTTTAAAGTTTAGTTAGTGTTTTGTTCATTATTAACTAAGTTACGTGTGTGTGTGTGTGTGTGCACGTGTGTTAAGAGGAGGCTGGCCACGTGACGACCTTTGTCATTTCTAACAATGTTTAACAATACTGACCGGAGTATATAATACGTTTTTTGCTTTAAAACACAAGAACTATTCATTATCGTTAAAACACTGTATAAATTATTACATGCTGAGTTTGTTTTGAATTTCGTGCAAAACTACACAAAAGCTATCTGCACTAGCAGTCCCAAATTTAGCAGTGAAGGACTAGAGGGAAGGTAGCTAGTCATCGCCACTCACCACCAACTCTGTTTGGTGGGACGGGGATTCGAACCCGCGACCCATAGGTTGCGAGTCAAGCTCCCGAAGCAACTGGCCATGCCAAGCCCAACATGCCGAGTTGGACTGAACATAATTTATAGGAAAGCTAATCCAATAGATTCATAAACTATGATGCTTATAGAACTTGAAGTTTTGTATGTATAGAATCTATCATTTTTAAGTGAAAAGATAATTGATGTTGCCGAAAATCTTTGAAATAATCACTTAATTTATAACTAAAGGTTCTTATGTTCGTTTGGAGAATTAATAAGTTAAAATGAAAGATATGGAAATAGAATTTTGAGTTTGTAGAAACGAAAGTGTTACTTGGATTAAGCAAACAAAAGTATTAAAAAGAAATATTGTATTGAGAACTTTTTATTGTGTTAAATCAATAATATTTTTACATGTAGTTGAATCTAGTAATTGTTGACACATTGAGACAATGAGCTCATCATCTCCATTTATAGAAACACTACTCTTAGTAACTAGTTATATGGTTAGCATAAAGACAAACTAGTGAAACAGTAAGTTTTATATTAAATTATTTAGAGATTTAAATAAGCATCATCTTCAGGAAATGTAAAAAAATGTATGATTAAATATAGAACTAATGAATTAATGTTTTATACATAAACCGGCCGTAGAACATAATTAAATCTAGCCATTGATTACATGTTGAGACATGTATGATGATCTCATCATAATTGTGGTCCCACTTCATGAAACTATGACTTGTATCTGCTTGCCATGGTGGCCTAGCAACGCCCCCTCTGGTGACATTTTGACACCTATAGTGACATCATGGTCTCCCCAATGCCAGAGGTCGATACGCGTGCGGCGCCCTCTAGCGCGTGTCGCGCAAGTACCCCGATAACTACAAATTAATTAATTAATAATTTGAATAAACCTGAGACACAAAACCCAATCCAATGATGTATGATATCAAACAAACTACTGCGATGAAAATCTCCTTGTGGGGTCGCAGCAATCGCGGCCATTCGTCCACTATGGCTGTAATAAATCCTTCCATAGTGCAGAACTATAAAGTAAGAAAATGAAATGTGAAATTCATACAGTACTTATAAAAATGCATTAATAACTATAAACGCATTAGTATACTAAAATATCAAACAGTGTTAATCAGAGGCATAAATGTTATCAAGGACACTAGAAATAACCTAACTTGTTCATTACAAATATCAAAAACGTTTGTAAAATGAGAATTATAAAACTGTATATGAATTTAAAACAGTTATATTTCTTCAGAGAGATATAATTAAGACAGATATAATTCTGTTTCAAATAGATTTTAAAAAGCTCATTCGTTTTAGAAGCCCCCAATGGCACGGCGGTATGTCTGCGGACTTACAAGGATAGAAACCGGGTTTCGATACCCGTGGTGAGCGGAGCACAGATAACCCATTGTGTAGCTTTGTGCATAATTACAAACAATCGTTTTAGAAATTCGAAACGTAAATCTAGTGTCACTATATTGATACATTTAACTTAATTATAATAATAGCTCTAGAATAAAGTGTTAATATTTTCAGTGGCGTTAATTTTTTATTATTTGTTCATAATTTGTGTTTAAAAAATCAAAATATTAAACAAAATAATTAATGTAATTTAAGTAATATCGCTGAAAAATGAATAAGTGAAAATGAAAATTATTTGACTACATATTTTACGAATTCTTTCAGGACAAATGAAAAGATAATTTATTACCTGAGCCACTATCACATAATGTGATTAAGGGAAAGTGGTCTACCTCAGATTAGTTTGGAAGTTATGGAGTTTGTTAGTTGTCAAGCTGAAAGCAACTCAACTGGCTATCTGTGTTTTACTTCGCGTGTTATCGAAGCCGATTTTCAGCATTATAAGCTCTTGGAGGTACAGCCGAGCCAACAGGGTGGAGTGGAGGGTCAATATATATGTAAGTATAATAAAATGTTCAGAGCATAATATAACTCATACTAATCGGCTAATAGTCCGTATTATTCTGTGAATAAGATATTTTCTATTGTAAAATATTTCGTTTTTGTGTTTTAATAATTATAACACCACATTTAAGTACACGTATATATACCGAGAGAGACAAATTCCTACCTGACTATCCAATCCTAGCATCATTATCATCAAGAAAAACAGAACTGCCCAAAGAGGAGATATGGGTAGCTTCATCGTCGCAGACGGGTAAGCAAGAAAAGCCAAACCGGGACCTGAAAATAAAATTAAATGTTTTTTATAGATTATAAAACGATAATTAGTAGTTTTTCTTCAATTCATGTTGATAGTGAAGTTTCCAATATGTCTTTATTTATCATTCTGATGAAAGAGATTTAGACTTAACCTGTAGTACTTTCGAATGCTAGTAGTAAGGGAGGCACTTCACCATCCAAAGGATGCCGCCTCATCCTGATTGGCTGCCTCAGAGAGGAGGGAAGAGGGGGTGATGTCGTCAAAGATGAATACATCATGAAGAATCTAAGTTTCAAATGAACAGCAGCTGCCTGTTATAGAAACCTACAAATGTAGAGGACGACGTTTCGAAAGTCTTCCGCTGGAAGACCTGCAGACGAAAGGCAGAAGACTTTTGAAA